ATGGATGTCCCGTCGATGTGCCAATATTCTTGGACAAAGGAGACGATTCTTTAGTCAGAACAGAGTCACCGTAGTCACCTAAGTGTATTTTGAGAGGGAGGAGGGTAGAAACGTTACATAAAGAGGAAAACAAACAAGCAAAAACTCACTGTGGCGTCACTCAAATTTCTGAATGGTAGATAAAATCTTCAGTGCATCTGTTATAGAGTAGTTCCTGTTCCTGAAATGCTCATGTTCTTATCCAAGTATTTCTTCTTCTAGGGAGCCCTGAAAACCAGGAGACGTATGTTTTTAACTTGACGTCGCTCACCGAGTCTGAAAACATCTTGTCTGCTTCGGTGTATTATTATATCGGTGATCTGCTGCCTGCTAAGTCAAACCGTTCGCGATCCGGAGGCTGTTCTCGTCACGGGCTCGAGAAACCTGATGTTCAGGTACATCTTTCCGTTTGGACCTTTCCTTCTGTTGGGAACCGGACTCGGAGACTGGGACGTTTCCTGATAAACGTCTCCGCCGCGCACCAGGATGTCCTTTCCTGGCAGCGGAAGGACATCACTCAGCTCCTGCCCGAAGCAAAACAAAACGAGGAACTCCTGATCGGTGTCAAAATGGATGTGACTGACCATCGCCCTTGGAAAAGGGCACCTTCTCGCTATGAACCCTACGTTCTGATTTATGCCAATGATTCTGCTATTTCAGAGCCAGAGAATGTTGTCTCTAGTTTGCAAGGGCACCGTCGTCCTCTGACAAGGGTCTTTCCTGGGCCAGAAAACCATGTGAGGAGCGGCCTCGGGAAGCGGCGGCGAAAACGCTCCACAAAGGTCCTGTTGCCATTGCAGAATAACGAGCTTCCAGGAGCCGAGTACCAGTACGACGAGGATGAGAGATGGGAAGACAGAAAACCGTACAAACTCTTTCAGCCACGGTTAGCAGAGAGGGCGAAGAGTAAGATAAAGCAGAGGAAGAATCATCAGCAGAAGAGCCAGACTCTACAGTTTGATGAGCGAACGCTGAAGAAGGCGAGGAGGAAGCAGTGGAACGAGCCAAGGTATTGCACCCGACGCTATCTCAAGGTGGACTTTGCGGACATTGGCTGGAGCGAGTGGATTATTTCCCCAAAATCTTTCGATGCCTACTACTGCTCAGGGGAATGCCAATTTCCAATTCCAAAGGTACGGTCTTAATATTGATTCTTCTGCGTTGTCGGTTACCGTAAATGACGCGCTTTCTTTCCTGTGTCAGTAAAAGACAGCTGGTCACCTGTTACGTGTTCGGATCTAGTAAAGGAGCGATCCCTTAGTCTCGTGCTGCGGGGAGTAGCGGTCAGAGCAGCTAGTGAAAAAACAGACCTGTAAAGGTTACCAAAAAAAATTACGTAGTATTAGGTTTTTGACAGAACCCAAATAGTTGCCATAAAACATATCCCAAATAGTGCTTATGATGTGTGGACTTGTTATTAACCTGTTGCATAAACATCATATGAGCCAGATCTAGAAAATTGCTTATTAGGCAGTGGTCGTTACGCCTCGAAGGAGTCTCTGATGCTCGACCCATGCTCGACCCACGCTGGGGTCATTCAGCGTAGCACGTTCTGTAGGAGCGGTTGGGATGCTCTTAGCGTAAGTGAGGGAGTCAAAGGGATGGCTTCTATGGCAGACCGAGTGGATCCAACAGCGATGGATCCCGGCCAACTGACTTCTTCCCGGCCAGAAGAACGAGCGGAACAGCCTGACCTTGCAGGAGAGCGAACCGGAACAATCGGTGTCGTGGCGTAAACTACTTGGGTTCTCTCATCTGTACGTGTTTTATCCACTTTGGTTTTTCCTGACACGCTTGCGTTCCACCAGTCAAGCTCCCTGGCCTGCAAGTTACTTTTCTTTTGCTGCGCTGATGACTCAGCCTGCTAGCACGTTGACTGCCTCCCTCCCCGGCCAGCGAGTTTCGTGACTACATTGCAGCCCATGCGGAACTTAATCCGCTTGGAACAGACCTGTCCCCAGCAGGACGCTCAAGCTGAAAGCGGTGGCGCGACGCTCGCGTCCCGTGGCCGAAAGAACCAGACCGGATTCGTGTTCGCTGCTGCTGGCTCGGAGCAGCTAGGGTGACAACTGGAAGTGGACGAGCAGAAGACAGATTTTACAGCTTGTCAGCTGTGGGCTCTCCACAGGGCTCTTCTGCAGAAAACTGATTTTGTTCTAGGGTGTGTGGGTCTGTTCTAACATGGGTGCAGTTACATTTTCTGCTGTATCTTTCTTTTGCAGGCCTTGAAGCCATCCAACCATGCCACCATCCAGAGCATAGTGAGAGCCGTTGGGGTTGTCCCGGGCGTTCCTGAGCCTTGCTGTGTTCCTGACAAAATGTCTTCTCTCAGTATCTTATTCTTCGATGAAAATAAAAACGTGGTTCTTAAGGTGTACCCCAACATGACAGTGGAATCCTGTGCGTGCCGATAACATCTCTGGAGACCCTTTTGAAACGCTGAGGTGATCACCTGCTATTTGGGACCAGGGTGGGGAGGGCGGGGACGGGAGCAGGCGTTGTTTCACGAGATCTACTTTATGTTTGCACTGCCGATGCATTTCCTTTGGACAAAAAAGAAAAGAATGTAAACAAATCCAAGTAAGGAGGATGGACGTGGAATGGATTCCTAATAGCAATTCCAAGGAAGGAGACTATGAACTTTGTTCATCTCTGAATTTGACAAAGACGAGTTTTGGCAACGAGGACTGACTGTTTAAGTTGAAATCAATAGAAGAGGTAGGAGTTTAGAGAAGACTCTTCAAGAATTGAGAGACTGATGGAAGGACATACTGATCTATTTTTGTATGATATTTTGGAAGCAGCGGCAGCTGTTAAATTTTTGTGTCCGATCTTACTATGTCTAATGGGGAGGGAGACTGGAAACATGCTATTCATTTTAAAGCTAAGCTTTCTGCCCTAGGTTATTGAGTAGAGCAGCAAGGAAGAAAAACAAATCTGACATCCTAAAAGCCCTAGATAATCCAACTTTGATGTGGATCTCCTCCATACAACATGTCACCGACTGCATGTGTGTAATCATTTTCATTGACGTATTCTTTGCGATTCAGCTTAAGAGCAGTCAGTGCTTTGCTTTTCTCCTGGCCAAAAAGACAGTTGCAAACAACTGAGAGCTTTTCAAGGCCGTGTCTAGGTAACGAGAAAGAGCCTGTTTTTCCAGCGTGGAGCTGCTCGAGCTCCTGTCTTGACTTTAATGACAGGCAGAAGTAGCAATGTGCACAGGCTGTCTGTACTGTAGGGCTCGTCTTTTAAGCCCACTGGTTTGCTCCTGGGCCTCGTGTCATTAGGACGCCTGGGGAATGCCATGGCCTAAGCTGGAAGCAGGCTCGCGTTTAGATGTCAGACCCTGTGAGCAAAAACAGATGCAGTGGTTGCGGGTAGTTGTCTTAGATAAGAGCTGCACAGTTAGGTCTATTGTTTATATAATTCAGCGTGACAACAGCTCCTGCTCAAAACAAACGGTAGACCTAACTAAATCTCATCTTCAGTTTGTAGAGAGCTTGTGGCAAAAGAGATGTCACGCAGTTTAACACAGCAAACTCAGCTTTGTGCCAGTACCTCCCGTTTCTTTGTTCAGGGTGAGCTGGCTGGTGGTGAGTAACGCTCTTATTGCCAAAAATTGTTTCCTTGACAGTGTTTTTGAGGCTGTTGAGGTGCCCACCTCCTGTCCTGAGTAGAAAGGTGCGAGCTGCTCAGAAGCCCTCAAGGGCTGGATTTCTCCCCGCGTCACCCTGCACTAGGACTACAGCATGTTCCTTCCTTAGAACAGCACAAGACGACACCTTCCCAAATGCAGTGCAGAGGAGAAAGTACTTTGCAGCTTTCTGACTCCCCACAGGAGGACTGGGGATCATCCCACTGCACATGAGACTGCTGCCTCAGAGAAGGGCAGTCTGTCCCCCAGGAAAACGCTGGGGAAACGAGGACTCCGCAAGGTGAGAAGTCGCTGAGCCCCAGCTCGCTGGGGAGAAATCGGAGCGGCTGGCTCTCGGGAAGGTGGTCAAGACCGAGCGGAACCCAGCTCAGTCTGTGAAGGGCGTCTGGCACGAGTAGTGCCAGGAACAGGGCTCCTCAGAAGAAAATGCAGAGGTCAGACGTGCCCTGGCCCACCCCTCGGATGGTAGCAGACTTGCCCAGATCAGAATAGGATGTGGCAGTCAACCTTCCTGACTTTTGCACTCCAGAACAGGGGCGCTGACTAAACATGGGTGTTCACTCAGCGCAGCAGTCTGGGGCAGCCCTGCTCCGAGTCGCTCCTTGGGGCTGAGGCTGAGTTCGAGGCTACAGGTAATGTTTTCCAGTGCTGTGATGAGGCAGCTTGGAGGGGACCGTAAAAGCGTCCCACGAAAACGAGTGTGAAGAGGTTACGCTTGGTTTCACTGAGATACAGCCAGACTTTGTCACGAACTGTATCGTGGAGAATAGGTACAGTCTCCCAAGTAAAATAAGGTCTGCCTTTTCCAGCTCTACGCTAAGAGTGTTCTCTTCAGTTAACCGTGTAGAAGTGAGATGTTTAATGCCCACGACTTGTTTTGTGTTCGTATCTGTAAATGAAACTTTATACATAAAGCCATGTCTAGCAATCGGTAATGTATTTCTCATACAGGCAATGATATCTGTATATAACTTTGTATTAGTAGAGACCTCAAAATTATTTCCAACTCATGTTGTTAATCGCCGTTTTAATCTCGGATCAGCACAGGGCGGGGGTTTCACACATGTTCTGGTTTTGAAATACTGTTAATGGGTAAATGGCTCTGCTTCGGATCTAAGTACGGAGTACCCGATGCCCACGTGTTGTTTTTGCCGCTGGCTCAAAAACGGGTGGGAGAACGTCTCGAGCTACGCAAGCTTGCTCTTCAGATAGACTCTTCTGGGAGCAAAGTCTCCAGCACCTTTCATGAGGTGTCCGGCAGCCCGGGGGTCGCAAATCGCTGTGCTCTGCTGCGGGGCCGGCCCGACAGCTTTGCGTGCTCATCGCTGAGGAGAGGCTCAGCAATTTGCGGGAGACTCAAGTTTTGTATAGTGACCCGTTTCTCTTTGTAAATACAGTCTTTTTAAATGAGTTCTTCTGAAAAGTGAATCTTTGTACAGATTATGTCAATTTCAAAAAGAAAAATTACCCCAGAAAAACAGAAGTTATTTTGTATATGGAAAGATGCTTTTAATTTATTTTATATATGTGGCTATCTCGTCCTCTAAATGTTTTCTTCTTTATCTCAGTGCTGTTTAAACAATACAATATTCTCTGTCGTTGCAAAGATGGAACGCTTGGACCGTAGCCAAGTGCCCAAGGACAGGTCACAGCCAGACTGTGAAGGTCATCTTTCACTACTGATGTATGAGCTTGCCTGATGTGTATTTTTTTCCCTTCTATAATGGGGAAGTTTCACGAGGAACTCTGGAGAAAATATAAAATAAAATCACTTTTTACATGAAAGTACATTTTTTGTGTGTGTGGTGCTCATGTCTTTCCAAGAATGTTCATTTGTGGTTTAGCCCAGCCAGCAGCTAAGCATCCACATGCCGCTCGCTCGCTCCTCCCCCTCAGTGAGGTGGGGAGGAGAAAATGGCAAGAGAAGGGTAAAACTTGTGGGTTGAGATAGGGACGTTTTAATAGGACATCACAAAAAAAAAGAGAAGGGATAATAACCGCAATCATGCTAACAGAAGAACAATACCAGTACAATTGCTCACCATGTGGAACTTGTAACCCAGCCCGCTCCCCATCGGCGATGCCCCTCCCTGGCTTAGCTCCCCCAAGATAGATTCTGAGCATGACATCCCATGGCACAGAATAGCCCCCTGCCCGGTTTGGTTCACCTGTCCTAGCTGTGTCCCTTCCCGGTTTTCCTGTCAACAGGTAACTTTATCCCAGCCAAACCCAGGACAACATTAAAGTTTTCACTGCTCTCTGTGTTCAGTGCTCAGGAAACACATCCATCTCGAGCGCTCGTTCGCAAAGGCCGTTCAAACAGAGATTGTCTTTACAGAGGGCAGTTCAGAGTGGGTGGGGAGCGAGTGCTCTGGATTCAGTTCAAGGCTCGCTAGTATGACGGTAAGAAGCTACTGAGATAACCGGACCTGATCCAAGGCCCAAAGGTGGCAGCGGGCACGTATCTGCCCTCCAGGTCTGGCACTGCCACAGCAAGAGTGCTCCTGCTTGAAGTAACCTCTCGCTTCTTGATTACGAGAGCGTGACGAGAGTGGGGACTCTGACTTCCAAGGGGTTTTTCGGATGCTTCCAATGCTGGATGGTTCCCTGCTGGCCCAACCTAGTGAGTAACTTTGCGTGGGGTCTCAGAGTAACTCTCCGCCCTCTCGCCCAGAGGTGACCCAAGTTCCCAAGCCACAGGGACGTAACGATTCAAGCGAAGCAGGTCTTGGCTACGCACGATTACGAATGCGTGGGCTCGTGACATCCGCCCGAAGGACAGTCTGTCTCGGGCCAGGCCATCCCCTGCACCCCTCTGCTCTTCCTCCACTCGTGAGCTGCGCTTAAAGAAAGAGATGCTCGGGGCATTGAGGATTAGTACTTGTGTCTGAGCTTTACTCTTCCACAGCTGAGAGCGCTGCCCCAGGCAGCTTGTGTTTTGATCTCCACCTCTTAGAGGGATGTTAGTTATAGACCAAAAGAGCCCTACAGCCCCTGGGAAACCTCAACTCTGTCGCTGCATAGTAAAACAAGAAAGCACAGTTGCACGTGAGAGCAACCGAGCAGGGGTTGCTCGCTGGTAATCCTTCACAAATCAGACTTTCCCTATAAAACCACTAAGTCCCTCTTTGCGCGAAGCTCAGGATTTCGTCTGCTGCTTTTTGAGAGGAACAATCTTTTCCCGAGAAGTCTGACTTCAGATCTCGTCTTGCACGAGGAGATCATGTGTGTGTTTCGAAGCATGTGGAGAAACAGGACTTGCCGCTACAAAGCCTGCACACAGGAAAACCTCCACTGTGTCTTTTCTTGCCACGTGGAATTTTCATGAGGTCTTTATGGAAAGTCGCTTCCCTCTTTTCATCTTCCTTTTTCACTGTGAGGTTCCCTTCCTGCAACACAGACCAGAGAATAACATTCTTATAAATGAGACTGTCTAGTGAGGCCCAGGTTATCCTGATTTCCATGGGATTTTGAAACATCATAGTGAGCAGAGAGATGGATCTCATTTAGAATCTTTCTTTTTTTTTAAGCTTTTTACAATTAGAAATTTTTATCATTGATTTCGCTACTTCACGCCTATTCTCTGCACAACTTCCTCCTTGCTTTCCACCTTTGGGAGGAATTGCCTCATTTTACTCACACTGCATTCTGCCTCTTTAGCACTGCCTCTTCTCTCTCCCTAAAACCACACCACGCACAAAATATGGTAATGATAGCGTGGTGAAAAAACATTTTCCCGTGGTCTTTCACCTCAACAGATCTTACATGCTT